GCCCTGGGGCTATGCTCCCACTTGGTACCCAGAGACCCTGGAGCCAGCCTGCATGGGTTCAATTCCCGACTTAGTCACTTAACAACTGTGTGACTTTGGGCAAGTTACCTAACTTCTCTGTGCTGGGGGCGGCATTCTCTGTAAGATGAAAGTAGTAATATTGTTTATTTCATGACATTTTTGTGAAGTCAGTGAGTTCATACAAGTAAAATGCTTAAAAAAGTGTTGGCCATGCAGCGAGAGCTACATAAATGTTTGCACATACTATTTAGGCACTCGCTTACTCACTCATTAATTCACTTATTCATTCACTGATTCACTCCCTTATTCAATCCACTGCTCAGTCACACACTCCGCCCTCTTCACTTGTCACTAGTTGAGCCATCCCTGTGCCCAGGCCCTCTCCTGCTTGCCTACCAGCCCCTCTTTGCCATCCCTGGGATGGTGCCCACCAGGCTGATAATTACAGTAACAATTTCATTAATTCCTCTCAAGCCCAAAACAAACAAGAAGCTGTCTGGAGCAGGGGTGACATACTACAACCAGAACCAGGGCCTGGGAACTAAGCCTCCAACAGGGGCTTCCTGGCCTGGGGTTCCTCACCTGGAGCTGCCCCAGATGGCCAGACCTCCCAGCCTGGGGGTGCCTAGCCAATGCCCTCCACAGGGCAGCCTTGCCCACTCTGTGCTTTGTGAGGCTGCATTCTTCCCAGTCCCAATCTTGCCCAGCCAGTGTCCCTGGCAGTGCCCACTCCCTACCCACACCTCAGGCTCTGTTAATGCTGGGAGGCCCAGCGCGCGAGTTGGCTCCTCCAGAGCCAGGAGCCGGGAGCTGGCCAGGCAAGGGCTCCACAGCTGTAGCCCATGTCACAGGAGAACGGTCAGAGCTGCATGCTGAGCATCACAACCTCATGCTGATTAGTTAGATGAGGGAGCAGAAGCTTCCACAGCTTCCTCCTTCCCCATGGGCCCTGGGAGAACAGGTCATGCTGGGAAACCATTTCCTGAACACCTCCTGCATGCAAGCACCCGAGTAGACACTTTCCATATTGTAACAGCATGGCATAGCGGGGGAGGCAACTTGCCTCTCACTGATGAGGAAACTGAAGCTCAGAGAGGTAAAGGGACTCACCCAAGGCCACACAGCCTGTACATGTGGTCCTGGAATTCAAATCTATACCAGGTCTGGGGCCCCCGCATCCAGGAAACCTGAGGTGTGGGTGGGGAGTGGGTGCTGCCAGGGTCCTGTCACCCGATCGTGCCTCAGACATGAACAAGGTTGGCACCTGGGGAACTGGAGGGAGCCTGGGTTTGGGCAGGAAGTGATGTTTGGTCTAGAGGGTGGGGCAGGAGAGAAGGAGAGCAAGAGATGCAGAGCCAGGTGCCAGGCAGGAACAATAGTGCAGGGTGGGTAACAGGAGGCTGGCCAGGCCCAGGGCTCCTGGGCAAGCCCTGCTGGGCCCTGGAAGCAGCAGGCTCATCCTGCAGGGCTGCCAGTGTGATACCAGCCTCGGTTAGCCGAGTCAGCGATTGTATCAGCTTTTCCTGGAAAACAGCAGACATGGTGGGGGTGTCTGGAAGGGAGGCATCTGTTTGGGAAAAGCAGGTGTGAGCACCCTGTCCTGCCCTGCAGCTCCCCCTCCGGCCAGTCCACGTGTGCCCGTTTCTGGTTGCTCCAGTCAGCCTCCTGCTGCATGCCCAGACCCCACGCCTGGGTCCTGCAGTCAGAGCTGGCCATGGGGCTGAGTCCAGGGTGCCACCCGGGCCCTGAGTGAGCTCTGCTGCCAGCCACCACCTCAGCCAAGCAGTGCAGCCTTCCAGGGCACGTCCACACCTGCCTTCTCTGGCGCCTCGTTTCACCCCACCCTAAAGGGGGCAGGTGCGGACAGGTGTGGAGGCAAGGTTGATGTGACATCATTTGGTGGCACCCTTCTTTGGGGGACATCAGTGCCACTCTGCCGTGGGTCACAGCTTTAGGGGCACCAAAGGTCTCCATGGAATTGGGTCCGAGGCATCCCGCTGCCCAATTGGGCATTAGACTTCACCTGGGCTCAAGAAGAGAGGCTGGATCAGGAGCACCCCGAGTCCTCAGGCAGTGGGGAGGGGCAGGGAACCCAGCAAGGCCAGTCACAGGCATTGTCACACTCTGGAGGAGATAATAGGATCAGGGGCTCAGCTGCCACACACTGCAACCTCCCCACACCCAGGCAGGGCATGGGCAAACAGAGGGAGGGCAGAGGCTTCAGGGGGGCCAGGCCGAGGGGCTGAGCCTGGTGCAGAAGCAGAGGGCCTGTGGGCATCTTGGAATTCTCCCTTCCCTTCTCTAAGGATCGGTGGGCACATATTCCTACAATGAGGTGGTGGGGACAGCAATGCAGAGGCTAGGGAGCCCATTTCTGTGGTGTAAATACTCCTAACGTGACCAGCTCCCAGAACCAGCCTGACATCACTGAGTGCAAAGCTGGGAAGAGATGCTCTTGAGAGCCAATCCCAGTGGGCTCCTGTCTGTGTCATCCATGCCCATCTGCCCACCTCACACGGCTTCTATGAGAACCAAGGGGGCTGGCGGCCATGCGCGGGTTTCATGAGCAGGGAGGAGGTGCTTGTTACAGCAAAGGACTTCAGGGAGCAGACCCTGGGTCAGGTGGGCCTGGATTCAAAGAAGCTCTGCCTATTATTTGCTGTGTGACCACAGGCAAATCACTTCCCCTCTCTGAGCCTCAGCTTCCTCGTTTATGAAATTTGGATACACACAGAACCTGCTCAGATGGTTGTTTCAGAGCTTAAAGGTGGTAATCAGTGCTGATGAAACTGCAAACATTTAGTACCAGTGCTGGTGTTTTTCATTGTTCCATGATGCAGTTAAGTACTTGGCATAAAGACTGAGACATCAATAAGGGGGTGGTCTCAGGAGCCTCTGGGACCAACATCTTTCAGTCTTAAGACTTCTGCTTCACCCCACCTTGCAAGGCAGTCTCGGAGGAAAGGGGCTCCGGATCCAGCTCAGACACCCCTCAGGCACATATTCAAAAGCCCTTAAGCACCCCTGAGTGCAGGCCATGCAGGTGCCCCTGGAGTCATGGAGAGGGTGACATGCCCTGTGATGCTGCTGCTCTGGAGGCTGGGGCTATGGGGGCAAGGTGGGGGCTCCTGATCTCACCCTGGAGTCAGCGAGAGCTTCCTGAAGGAGCGGGCCTTTGACCGATCGCCATATTGCTTGTCAGTCAGGCCTTTCCACTGAGAGCTGAGGCCAGGACTGGGCATATGTTCCTACATCCTGGAGGCTGTGCCCTCCGTTGTCTCCGGCCAGGCCCACTGCCCCATGCCCCTACCCATCTGCACACTAAGCATCAGAGGGGCTCAGCACCCAGAGATGTGAGGAGTGGACAGGGCAGCACCCACAGGCTCCAGGGGCCCTGGGCTGGGCTCTGCTGCCCCCTAGTGGTGACACTGAGAAGGCTGCTGCTCCCACAAGGGGAAACCACTTAATGAAAACAGCAATTACCATAAAAAATGAAATGATGGTGATGATGCTCATCGCTTGCAGTTTGCACTCAGTCAGCCAGCCATAGGCTGCCTGGCATAGGGCACAGAATACTGGACTGAAATCAGATGGACACTTAGGTACTGAGTCAGGGTCCAACTGGTTATGAGCACTGGGACCAGTCATGTCACCTCTCTGAGCCTCAGACTCCGCATCTGCAGACCGGGTGACAAAAACAGGGTTGTGGTAAGGATCAGACGATCTAATGCCTGGAGCACAGGCTGAACCGAAGCCAACAACACCGCTGTTCTTACCATAACAACTCTGGCCCAGTCAGCCATGTATCGCCTCCCCTCTGTGTAATGCTTTTCACCAAGTCCTTTCACAAGGTGTCGCCTCCTTTAATCTGCATTATTATTACCATTTGACAGATGAGAGAATTAAATCTCAGAAAGGGGAAGTAACTTGCCTAGAGCATTATGGCTTGTGCGAGGTAAGGTGAAACAGCACGCAAAGCCAGACCTGCCTGACTCCCACTCCAGGGCTCCCTGCCCCGCCCTCTGCTTTGGCAACTCTGAAGCAACTTAGAATTCCCCGCTTCCTTATTGCCGCATTTAAATTAGCAGGCACAGCCTCTTCAGCCTCTCTCTGCACCTCCTCTCCCACCCCCACTGGCATGTGGAATGCCAGGCCCCGCAGCTGACCCCTTCTCTCCTTCCTGGCCAGGTCCCCCGCCTCGCAGCAGCTCATGAACCAAGATCTTGAGAGTGGTTTCCAAAGCTCATCCTGTCCATCCCCCTGCACCCCACCCAAGCTGATGACTGTTCATCCTGTTCTTCATGCTGCTCAGGGAAGGAGATTCCATCACTCCACTTCCTCTACCCACCCAGGTGTTTGTTACAGTTCCCACGGTTGGGAAATTCTACATTGTGTGTAACCAGAGTCCCTCTTGCTGAAGATTCGGCCCATTTCCTGGGAGAAAGACCCAGGAGTATCAGAAATATAAAGACCCAGGTGGACACTTGAAGGCCAGAGAGAGAGACCTTGAAATGGGGTGGGGTCACTCAAGGACAGGAAGTGAGAGCTGAGCCGGGGTTCAAATCCCGGTCAGGGCAGCAAAAGAGTGGCTGAGCTGGACGCCTGGTGCTCATCGCCGCCTCAGCCCAGGTGGGGCGGCCTCACCCACAGCGGGCAGGCACCCAGGCCCACCCCCTGCCCCACTGGCACCCTGTGGCTCATAACAGAGTGCTGGTGTGGGAACTGAGGAGCAGAGTGGGTCTAGGGGACATGAAGAGGCCAGGCTCAGGAGTCATGTGGAGCTGAGTTCAAATTCCCTCAAACCCCTCAGCAAATATTTGCTGAGCTCCTCTGTGCTGGACCCTGCATTCAGCACTGAGGCCCCTGCCGAGGCCTCTGCCCCGTGGAGCTGTAGCCCAGTGGGGAGGGCACAGTAAACAAGTCAAGACATGAATAAGGATCCCAGAGTGGCGACAGGGAAGGGCGGGGGGGTCACATACCCAAGAACAGTAGCAGACACTGTCTCCTGAAGAGGTGGCACTGCAGTCAAAGCCACAATAACAAGAAGCAGGCAGACCTGAAGAGCCGAAGAAAGAAGGTCCCAGGAGGCAGGAGCAGGCAGGACAAACCCCGAGGCTGGCTGAGCCTGGAGTCTAAAGGCCAGCTAGTACAACAGCCAGGGCACCCGCCTGCGTGGGCTCACATGGTGCTCTTTCCTCGTCAGCTTTCTTATCTGGAAAATGGGATCAATAGCCACTTAATGGAGATGGACATGTAGGCCTTATCCCAGGCCCTGGGAAGTGGTCAGTAAATGGTACTTGGTATGTTATCATCGCTCTAATAACAGACCCATCAACTGTGCCCTGCAGGGCTTTATTTCAACATCATCCCCCAGCCTGAAACCACCCCCACCACGCACACAAGGCTGCCCAACCATTTAGTGCTGAATGGTTTTAGGTCTCGTGCAAGCGCACTGCACTTGACAGTTTATAAAGAATTTCCTCCCATCCTTCCATTGCCCTGCAGAGTTCAGGAAATCTCTGGAGTCGTCAATAGCAAAGGGTCTGGCAGTCCCTGGCCTACAGCAGGTATTCGAAGAATGCCAGGTCCAGGTCCTGCCACTCCCACCCGCATGATGAAATTTCAAATTCCAAAGGCCTTTCTTACCAAACGTCCTTCATCTGAGGAAAGGTTCATTTTCCAGCCACACAGATCCCTAAGCCTGGAAAGGTTCTGGCTCACAGCTAAGCTCTGTTGAAATGTGAAGTTGACTCTCCATCAAAATCCAGAAGAAATATTGTAGAAAGAAAGATCCTTGGTCCCTCCCACATGGAAGCAGGAGTAGGCCAAGGTCAAGGTCAAGGTCAGGGCAAAGACAGAAGCCACTGACTCCTCTCTTCCTGATGGAAAAGAGTTTCTCCTCAAGCTGCTGGTTCCCAGAGGGCAAATCCTGGGTCTCTGCTCTGTGGTGGTGTCCTACCACCAACATTTCAGTGCTCAAGATGTAGCTTGGGTGGCACTGCCTCCAGGAAGCCTGCCCTGATCCCTTGTGAGAACTGGCTGCTCCCTTATTTGCCTGCCCACAGCCCCAGGGTTTCTCCTACCAAGGTAAAGAGGAAAGTTTCTGTTGAAGTTTAACTCACAAGGATAAAGCACACAGATCTGAAGTACACAGCTCAGTGGATTTTCAGATGAACAGCCTGTGTAAACAGCATCATTGGGTCCCTCCCCTGCTGGTTACTATCCCTGCCCCAGGGTATCCTAACCCTGACCTCTACCCCATCAGTTAGTTTTGCCTGTTTTTGTGCTTTATGCAAACACAATCATCTAAGATGGCCTTTTGATGTCTGGCTTCTCTCACATCATGTCTAGATTATGTCCTTATGCATAGTTGTAAGTGGTTTGTCCCCATTATGGCACAGTGTTCTCCTGTGTGAAGAGACCACAGTTTATCCATTTTACGACTGATGAGCATTTGGGTAGTTTCTAGTATGAATAGTACTGTTAAGAACATTCTACTTCAATGCCTTTTGGGACACATATGTACACATGCCTGTGGATGGAGACCCAAAGAAAGAAGTGGAATTGCTGGACTATAGGGAGGCATGTACTCAGCTTTAGCAGATGCAGTGAAACTGTTTTGCAAAGTAAACTGTGCCAATTTACACCCTGCCAATAGCACAGGAGAGTCCCTGCTACCCCACAACCTTGTCAACTCTTGAGACTGTCTGGGAGTCCCTGCATTTCATCTGTTCACTTGTCTGTTTCACTTATTAGAGTGAGAGGATGCTGTCTCTGGCCCCTGGCCCATAGAAGACACAAATGAATGAGAGGATAATGAAGGGGACTGGGAAAAAGGAAAAGGAAGGAAGGAAGGAGGGAAGGAAAGAGGGAAGGAGGGCAGGAGGAAGGGGGAAAGAGAATTCAGCTAGGAAGCAGGTGAATATTTCCACGCTGTGGGGCTCCACGCTGGGACCCCCAGAGGCCAGTGCCTGCTGAGGCCCAAGCTTTGGTTTGTGGCTCACCCTGCAACATCAATGCGCACTGAAAATGAAAAACTAAATAAGTTTTTTTCTCAACAGTTTAATTTCAGGATAAATCTCCTAAACAATAGTGCAGAGTTTGGAAACTGTTGAGAGTGGTGGAGGACAGCAGGATCCTCTGGGTCACCGCAGAGTGGGGGGGCAGCGCCCAGTGGGAAGGGGCTCCAGGAAACCTTTGAGATGGGCTGGCTGAGCAGACAGCCTCAGGGGCCGAAACCCCTGCCCTAGACGTGCCCGCACTGTCTCCTGTCCAATACCATCCCCACGTTCTTCCTCCTCCAGCAAGTAGGGGCAGGGCCCTCAGTCCTTAGCCAAGGCCAGACACCAGGGCTGGGCCCACCAGACAGAGGCAGGTGCCACTGAGACAGGGGCTCCCCCAAGACGCCAGGGCTGGAAATGCCTCCCAGGGAGGTGGGAAATGAGCCTGGTGGGACCTTGAACAGTCATGGCCACCCTGCCTGGCTGCATGGCCCCAAAGCCAGCTGCCCCCACCCCACCCCTGGCAGCTTAGCCCAGACTCAGGTGTCAGCCAGAAACTAGATGTGCCAGGGCAGGTTGGATAGGAGAACTTGTTTCCTCTGCTTTGCCGGCCTGGTGCCCACCTTGGCTCTCCTGATGCAGATTCAGCACTTGAAGAAGCAGAGAGGAGCTTTGGTCTGTACTCCATGCAGGAATCCCATTCCTGGATTTTCTGAGATCCTTAAATCCTCGAGGGACACAGACCTCACCACCCATACTCTGGCTATGCAGCTTTGACACAATAAAAGCCACCCTTTTTTGCAACTTCTTATGGGACCAGGCACTGTATTGATTTACATACTTCATTTCACCTTGACTCCATGAAGCAGGTACTATTATCACCACCCATTTTTCAGATGTGATAACTGAGGCTTACAGCCATTAAGTATCTTGACTAAAATTACATATATATATGTGTGTGTGTGTGTGTGTGTAATTACAGAATTACACACACACACACACACACATATATATATTTCCTACTTCTGTCCAGTGGAAGGGCCTAGAAGCTGTGACACCTCAAGAGCAATCAGCACACTCAGCACCCAGATAATGGTTTCTAGATACCACTCTTCCAAAAAAAGGAACCACGATCCTTAGAGAAATGGTTGATTCTAGCTCTGAGTCAGGGAGAATACAAGATGAACCTGGAGCATCTTGTATACCAGACAGTAAGGAAATGCACAAATATAAATAGATAGGACAGGGGATGTCAAACAGGAGCTAATCTGAAAGAGCTCCTGATGGACAAAGCTGGAATAATTTGAACAACAAAATTAATAACTTAGTACTGAATTAAAACCCAAAGGATAAGATAAATAAAGATCATGTCATGTGGACAGAAATAAATGATTGATTAAATAAATGAGGGAAAGAAACACATCTTTCTTACAGAAGAATTCCAAATAACATACATAGATATTTCCTCCACAAGGTAGGAACCCATTTGAGTGTGGGTTCCACTTGCTTCCAAAGAACAGAGTATGGAAAGGGGAAAATAGTAGCTTCACAGTGGGAAAGCCTGGCAGACACCAGCTTAAACATATAATCAAGGTGAACGTCACCAGTAATAAGTCACATGGCTATCACGTGCCTCCTGAGATCATATGAGGAGGGGGCCACTTCACCTCTGTGGTATTCTTCCTCCAAACCGTAACTCCTACCCAGTCATGAGAAAAACGTCAGATAAACCCAAATGGAGGGACAGACTGGTAAAATACTAACCAGAACTCCTCCAAATTGTCAAGGTCATGACAAATAAGGAAAGACAGAGAAACCACTGCACACCAGAGGAGACTAAGGCGATGTGACAGTGACATGCAATGTGGGATCCTGAGTTGGATCCTGGAAACAAGAAAGAACATTAGCGGAAAAACTGGTGAAACCCGAATAAAACCTGGAGTTCAGTTAATAGTCATGTACCAATGTTGGTTTCTTAGTTTTGACAACTGGACCACGGCAATGCACAATGATAATAACAGGGAAGGCAGGGAAAGGGGTGTACAAGTCTATACAATCTTTGCAACTTTTCTGTAAATCTAAAATGATTCCAAAGCAAAAGCTTTATTTTCAAAAATCACACAGATTGTAAATGCCTGAGCAGAATTCAAATTCAAATGCGTCTGCCTCCTTAGCCCACACACCTGCACCATCTCACAGCAGAAAGCCATTCCCAAAGGCTTCTTCATGGGCCTGAGCTCGTCCCCATCTGCCCATTTGCCTTCTAGGACCTCCCTCACTCATCTATTGTCTTCGCCCCGTGAACTCCTTTTGAGGAATGATGGATGCTCCTGTTCCCCCAAGTGTGTTCACATCTTCATGCACATTATTCCTCCACGCTCTTGGGGGACTTGGGTTTTGATAATTATTGGTCTCTTTGGTATCTAGCCTCCTTTGCAGCAACCACCAAATTCCACTTGGGGATCCATGGAGTTCCAAGGAAGGTAACTCCCCAACCTGGCTCCAGGGATAAAACACATGACCTCAGCTAGGTCTATCAGCATACTCCATTCCTTGACCACCAAGATCAGCCCAGAGGTAGCCGTGTGACCCAAGCTGGTCTGATTAGAGAGCATCGTAGGACTTGGACAGGGAATGCTGGGACAAGGACAATTCCCTTCTTCCATATTGGACATGAATGAAACCCTTGGGAACTTCATGATGAAGCCAAGATCAAGGACATCAGAACAGAGAAATGGAAAGAGCCAGGTCCTCAGCGACATCAATGAGCCACTGGATCAAGCCTTGCCTGAACCTCACATGGCTTCTACACGTCTCAGTTATGGGAACTCTGGTAGGCTGAGAAACGGTCCCCCAAAGATATCCATGTACTAACCCCTGGAACCTGTGAATGTTGTCTTATATGACAAAAGAAGGTGGAGTCTGAACGTGCATTTTAAATTAAGGATTATGAGATGGTAAGATCATCTGGGTGGACCTCAAATGCAATCATATGTATCCTTATAAGAGGGTAGCAGAGGGAGATTTGACATAGACACAGAAAAGCAGTCAGCATGACCATGAAGGCCAGGATCGGAGTGACGCCACTGCAAACCACGGAACGCTGGCAGCCGCCAGAAGCGGCAAGGACCAATCCCCCCAGAGCACATGTCCAGTGCCGGACAGAGCGCAGCCCTGCCGACACTGGGACTTTAGCCCAGTAATACTTACTGACTTCAGACTTCTGGCCTCCAGAACTGTGAGGGAGTAATGTTCTGTTATTTTAAGCCACTTAGTTTGTGGTAATTTTTTCCCGATCTTTAGCTGGGGAAATGAGGCTGAAGGCGGGGGACGGCAGCATCAGATGGCTCAGACACCAAGCAAAGGCATTATGGGAGTTTATTTACAGATAAGTCACAGCAACCAGGGTCCAGGCAGGATCTGGCCAGAAGAACCCAGACAAATACATATAGGTCCCAGCCCCCATCAGCACCAGAGCTGTTCCCAGCCAGGCCCCTGCCAGAGGGACCAAGACTCAGGCAGCGTGGAGGGAGTGGGCCCCAGTCCTTTCCAGGTATCAGAGGTCACCTGCTGTGGCCCCCATGCCAGAGGAAGAAACTGGCCTCTGTCCTGGAATGTGGACATTGAGGAGCATGAGTAAAGGCTTATTCTCAATGGCAGGCCACAAAACAGAAGTCCCAGCAGCGGCTTGGGGCATGGAGTCATCGCAGACCTGTCCGGAGTCTAGGCATGGAGCTGGTGTCCCAGGCCGTGGCTGCCCATCACACAGGGGGCTCCCCCAGTTTGCTGGTAGCACTTGTGACCCGTTTATTCTCCCGGAGGTTTCGGAGGCGGGCACTGAGGCTGCTGATCTCTTCCACATAGGCCTGGGGCACCCACCCTTTCTCACCATCTGCCAGGCGGACCCCTTCCAGCCAGCCTAGGGAAACACACAGGCCAGGAGCAGCATCAGCGTCATCACAGGGACACGAGGGCCAGGTCTGTGAGGGAACCCCTAGCCTGATGCAAGCCTCATCTGCACCCCTGGGGTCACGGTGACATCTCAGCATCTCCCA